CGGCAGTGTGGGGATGCAGTCAGGAAGGCCAACCGCACCTTGTCATGCATCCACAGATGCATCTCAAGCAGGTCCAAGGAGGTGATCCTCCCCCTCTATGCAGCACTGGTCAGGCCGCAGCTGGAGTACTGTGTCCAGTTCTGGGCGCCGCACTTCAAGAGAGATGTGAACAACATGGGGAGGGTCCAGAGGAGTCCACTCGCATGATCAGGGGGCAGCAGGGCAGGCCCTACGAGGTGAGGCTAAGCGACCTGAACCTGTTTAGCCTCCATAAGAGAAGGCAGAGGGGAGATCTAGTGGCCGTTTACAAACTAGTCAGAGGGGACCAGCAGGCATTGGGGGAGTCCCTGTTCCCCTGAGCACTACCAGGAGTGACTAGAAATAATGGTCACAAGCTGGCAGAGGGTAAATTCAGGTTAGACATCAGGAGGCGTTACTCCACTGTCAGGGCGGCTAGGATCTGGAACCAACTTCCAAGAGAAGTGTTGCTGGCTCCTACCCTGGGGGTCCTTAAGACAAGGCTTGACAATCACCTTCCTGGGGTCATTTACCCCAGTACTCTTTCCTGCCATGGCAGGGGGTCGGACTTGATGATCTGCTCAGGTCCCTTCCAACCCTACTAACTATGAATGAGGAGTCAGATTTTCACTCAATCAGCCATTTTTTAAGCTGTCTGCAGCCATGCACCTGGGTTTGGTCACAGCTATAAAGAGTTGCTGTCTGGCCAGATCAGGAGAAAATTTTCACTTCTGTGACAGGTCAGCTCCCAAACTACTGCACCTGGCAGCACAGTTTGGGGAGGAAGTAAGCAGCCAATAGTTGAGAGAGAACAGGTTAGGGACTATTTGTAAAAACTGGACGTAGAGAAGTCCATGGGGCCAGATGCGATGTACCCAAGGGTGATGAGGGACTTGGTTGATGTGATTGCAGAGCCATTGGCCATCACCTTTGAAAACTCATGGTGATCAGGAGAGGTCCCAGATGATTGGAAAAGGGCAAACATAGTGCCTATATTTAAGAAAAGAAAAAGAAAATGGATCCAGGGAACTATAGATCAGTCAGCCTCACCTCAGTCCCTGGAAAAATCATGGAGAAGATCCTCAAGGAATCCATTCCTAAGCACATGTAGGAGAAGGTGGTTAGGAACCATCAGCATGGATTCACCAAGGGCAAGTCATGCCTGACCAACCTGATTGCCTTCTAGGATGAGATGGCTGGCTCTGGATGCAGGAAGATCAGTGGATGGTGGTATACTTTGCACTTAGGACAAAAAAATCCCATGCACCAGTACAGGCTGGGGGCTGACTGGCTGGGCAGCAGCTCTGCAGAGAAGGGGTTACAAGGTAAAGGAAAGCCATTATTCCCCTTTATTCAGCACTGGTGAGGCCACATCTGGAGTACTTTGTTCAGTTTTGGGTCCCCCGCAGTACAGAAAGGATGTGGATAAATTGGAGAGAGTCCAGCTGAGGGCAGCAAAAATTGTTCAGGGGCGGGGGGACATGACTTCTGAGGGAACTGGGCTTAGTTCATCTAGAGAAGAGAAAACTGAGAGGGGATTTAATAGCAACCTTCAACTACCTGAAGGGGCGTTCATAAGAAGATGGAGTTAGACCAGTGGTTGTCAACCAGGGATATGCATATCCCTAGGGGTACTTAAAAGATTAATAGGGGGTACACAGAACTCTGTGTTCATGCATGCAGCCACAGCGCAGCATGCGGGGCGCCAGGAGCACAGCTCAGCCACATGGAGAGCAGCGAGGTCCAGCTGGTAAGTTTGTTGTGGGGGGCTGCAGTAGGGGTTGCCAGGGTGGGGCAGCTCCCGTCACTATGTGAACCCTGGGAGGGCATGGGGCCATGTGCCCCTGGATCTGTGCATGGGGCAGGGCAGGCTGGGCCTGGGGTACCAGGCTCTTCCTGGCAGGGGCTGAGCCAGGCTGCACTTGGGGTGGGTGGCAGCAGTGATGGAGGGGCTACAGTGAATTTTGGGGTGACTGCAGCCTGCCCAGTAACCCCGCTCCCATAGGCCCCCACAGTGAGGAAGGGAGTGGGGCTGGAGCAGGGGCAGGCGCTGCCCAGCCAAGGCAGAACACAGGGAGTAACAGCTCCCACTGCTGCACGCACCCTGGGAGGGCATGGAGGACACATGCCCCTGGATCAGCATGTGGGGCAGGGTGGGCTGCAGGCCACTGTTCCCAGTGTGGGTGTTGGACCAGGCTGCACTGGGATCAGGGTTTTGGGGGAGGGTGGGTCTTTGACAAATTTTGGGGTGGCTGCAGCCCCTCCTGTAGCCCCCTCCCAGCACTGCTGCCACCCACCCCAAGCACAGCCTGGCCCAGCCCCCACCAGGAACAGGCAGGTGTTGCCCTGGTCTGCAGCCTGCCCCACCCCATGATAACTGTGCCCTGTGCCTTCCTGGGGTGCAAGCAGTGGTGGGAGCTGCCACCCCCTGCACCCCCCAGACAAGCCACTCATGGCTGTGTCCCATGCTCCACCCCAATTGGGCAGCACCTTCCCCTGCCCAGCCCCACTCCTTCCCTCAGCACAGGGGCCTAAGGGAGCGGGGCCATGGGGGGGGCTGCAGCCACCCCAAAATTTGCCTTACCCCCAATCCCCTTCCTAGTGCCGCTGCTGCCCACCCCAAGCACAGCCTGGCCCAGCCCCCTGCCAGGAAGAGCCCATCACCCCAACCTGCAGCAGCAGCCCTTCCAACCCCCATGCCCCAGATCTGGGGGCACACACCCACCATGCCCTCCCAGGTTGCATGTAGCAGCAGGAGCCACCCCCCTTACATGGCTCAGTCCTGCATCCTGACCTGGCTGAGCAGCCCCTGGCCCTGCCCCATCCTGCTCCCTCCCCCGCTGCTGGACCCTTGATCTGTCCCAGCCCACCCCACACAGATCTTGGGGCACATGTCCCTCCCAGGGTGTGCGCAGCAGCAGGAACCGCCCCGCCTCCTCAGCCCCCACCCTTCCGATGCTCAGCAGCTCTGTCACGCACCCCACCCTGGCTACACAGAGTCTAGCCCAGCCCCACTCCCTCCCTCACTGTGCCCCCCCCCCTTAAAAATGAGAAAAAAACATAAAGGGGTACATGAGCTGAAACTTTGAGACAGAAGGGGTACACTTGTTAAAAAAGGTTGAAAACCCCTGATCTAGACTGTTCTCAGTGGTAACAGAACAAGGAGCAATGTTCTCAAGTTGCAGCAAGGAAAATTTAGGCTAGACAATAGGAAGAATTTTCTCATTAGGAGGGGAGTAAAACATTGGAACAGGTTACTGAAAGAAGTCATAGACTCTTCATCTTTGAAGGTTTTGAAGACCCGGCTAGACAAAGCTTTGGCTGGGATGGTTCTACTTTGAGCAGGGGTTGGACTAGGTGACTTCCTGAGGTCGCTTCCAACCCTAATTTTCTATGATTCTGTGATCTGCATTGCTGAGCCTAAGGCTTTGATTATCAAGCGCCCAGAACACCAACAACTCCCATAGACTTTAATAGCAGCTGTGGTTTCTCAGCGTTTCTGAACTTTAGGCCCTAAAAGTACTTGCTTTAAATAACAAATAGCCTCTAGATATGCTTGAATGTTGTTAGACGTAATTAGATCTAGTAAAGAAATGGCAAGTTCAGTAATTGCTAAAAAGGCTTGCATTCTGTAAAGCTTATTATAGCTGGTAGAACCAGTTTTACTAGGATAAATCTTAGCATGTGCATGTGGCATATTCAGTTTCACTTAAAAGCTAGAAAATACCCCCAAATCAACCCTATTGATCAGTTAAATAGTCCTGGACACACTGTGACTTTTTATTTTTAATGCTTGGTGCTGGTATTGTTTTTTACTTTCTTAAATGCATTTTCCTCTTATCAGTGCCACTAAGGTCAGTTTCATGTTGGTTTCCAGTTTTAGAAGCAGTCATACTTTTTGATTCTTAATATACACAGTTGATGATACCCCTAAAAGTGTGTGTGTGTGTGTGTGTGTGTGTGTGTGTGTGTGTACACATGTGTTTTACCTATGGGTTTCAAGTCAAGAAAATCGTATTTGTGAAGCTTCAGAACCAATTTCAGACATCCTGTGGGTGTGACAGCAGACTTAAATTCTACTTTTAGGAATTGACATCAGTGGTAAAGGGAGACCGCACCCTTCTGCCAACACCAAACAGGAAATTCATAATTACTCTTTTAAGGAGTGGCAGGAACAATACAGATTCTGCCTTGTAAAGCTAAAGATATGCATTTATGAATATAGAAAAGCTATTTTCAATTTTAAAAGTGGCTGTCTTTTAAAGAGGGAAAATTCTGCAAACAAAAGCGATTTTGCAAACTAAAGTTTTCTGGAAATTTAATATATATTTAACTGAAAAAAATCTTCCCTTTTATAAGTAAAACTAAATTAAAATCCAGGCAGGCAGAAGGGAATATCTTTGGTTTTATTATACCACAAAGTGAATAAGCCCAACAAGCATCAAAACATTACTGTTAAAATCCATAAAAATGCTGAGTTCTGAATTTTTCCACATACATGTAATGTAGTTCTCCCTGCCAAGAGACAGAATGGTAAAGAATAGAAGGCTCTGTCATAAATCATTGTAATTAAGTTTATTGTGTTTTAAATATTTTTCATTTTTAACACGACTTAACTTCACAGGAATCACCCTTCAGTTATAGTGCAGCCTGGGAAGCGGCCTTTACCTGTGGAATCTCCAGACACACAAAGGAAACGCAGAATACACAGATGTGATTATGAAGGTTGCAACAAGGTCTACACTAAAAGCTCCCACCTGAAAGCTCACAGAAGAACACATACAGGTGGGAGTCTTGGTGCACTTTTCTTTCATCAGTATTGATTTTTGAGTTAAAGGCAAAGTCCCAACTACATCCCATCCTTAAGATATTACTGAGATTTAATGCTTTTTTTCTATTTGCAAGAAAATCTGGTTTGATTTGAATGTTAAAAAAAATTGTTGTTATAAAGACTGTTTTTCTAAACATAGAATGGGTAAATTAGCCTAAACGTGTCCCTGTCCGTCAGCTCATTGTGTCCTACTTGCGTGTTCCAAAAGGTCCCATGGGACCTTCCTTAACTCTGATTTAGCTCTTTAAACTAAAAGTTGAAATAGTGGTGAAGGTGGTCGCATGTCAGGTATAAGTGGTATATTTTAGGCAGATCTGGCATTTGGCTGGCTTTGCTTATGTGCCTTGCAGTGGAAGGGGGAAGATGAAGGGGAGGTAACTAACAGGTTGTAAATCTAGACAAGAATCCTCCCAGTACATCTTGTATTTGCTTGGTAGCTCCTTTTCTTTCCTTTTCCTACACCCACTTTTGTCCTCTTGCTTTGAAGATAGCTATTTTGCTCATCCCTCAGATGGATCCTGGTTTTCTCTGTTTAAAAATACCAAATTCTGTGATTAAAACCCCCCAAATCCACATTTTTCCTTTATTAAAATGAAACACCTATATATGTAGTGGTATCAGTTGAACATAGTGTTTTACTGATATACAGAAAAAGCTTTGTTATCTGGCATAAGTGGGGTAAGAGGGTGCCGGTTATCTAAAAATTCCAGTTATCTGAGAGTTATGCCTATCAAGGAAGACAGGAGCGCAGTGCAGCCACTCCCGCCAGGAAGAGCCCAGCACTGCCCCGGCCCCAACCCACAGCAGCAGCCCGCCATGCCCTGCACAGATCCTTTTCCCTTCCCCCTGCTTCTTCCGCAGACTTTCCCACCTGGGGGGGGAGGTGCATGCCCTAATTTTCTTCCTCCGCCTATGCAGATATCAACTAGAAGGGCTCCTAGCAGCTCCTCTGTTGGCAGCATCACTCTGCTCACATCTCTTAACTTCACCAGTCCTCATTCAGCAGCAACACATTATGCAGCCCCCTCACCACCAACTCAGTCTGTCTGTACAATT